CTGCCTCACTGCTACTACTAAATCATAATACTTCTGTTGCAAAGAATAGGCAATTAGATTTAGTTCAGGATGACTCGGACTTTTCACTTTTTTGTCAATTTCTAAAACAAAAGCACAACTTACATATGCACTAGACTACATACATACATTCATAATCACAAAAATATTACACATAAATTTACTGCAGCAGTAATCTATGCATAAATATGATCTGGTATAATTACAATGCTAATTATTACTACTGAGGTGAATGTAAACATTGAAGGGGCGAGCATGAGCCATCAATTAACAATTAAAATTATGATTGAACTAAATAAAATCAATCCAGCTCAGCCTGCATGCATATTCAGACCCCGGCCTCATGGCTGGGGTCTGAACAGAGCAAACACACCAGTTAACACAACCAAAGTAACCCATTAAAAGAGACAAGGATGAACTATCCTGTCACTTTGAAAAAAATGTGCCAAGCTAAACTTTTAATTAAGCTTTCATCTTTTTGAAATAACTTAACTACCGAAATAAAATCAATCCAGCTCTTAACGTGCATGCATATTCAGACCCCATCCTGCGCCAGGCTAGAACAGAGCAAACCCACTATTTAACACCACTGACCAAAATGACCTAGTAAAAGTGACAAGAATGAACTATCCTAATACTGAGAAAATGTGACAAGCTAAACTTCTAATCAAGCTTCTCTCACAATTTTAATTCTGTCAATGAGAGGACTAATCTAGAGGAGTCTTAGATCAAACTGCTTTTAAGTTCTTCAGCCTTTAGAGATGCTTTAAACAGCCCCTCTCTCCATAGGGGTAGGAACAAACTAAAAGTTGGGGGGGCTAAGGTATTATTTTTACAATTGATCATTAATACATAGCATGTACTGAAATTAATACTGTCCAAAATATTGGCGTCTATGCTCATTAAATGTAACAAATTCCTTTGCAATGTCCTCAATGTGTAAATCGTCTGTAAATTCTTTGTGTGTATGCAAAATAACTACATGATTAAGATGCTCTTGTGACATTGTGGAGCGCAAGTAGTTTTTAATCTCCTTAACGTCGAAAATCTATGCTCAGCTGAAGCTGATGTTAACAGAGTTGTTAAATAAAGAAGTAGAAGCTTGTGTATTTCTGAAAAAACTAATAAAAGTGTATTCTTAAATCATCACACAATATGCACACATATAAGGATTACCTAAACTAAAGTCTATAGTGTTGATAATAGTAATACATGTACATCACTTAAAGTTGGAGGGGCTAAGCCCCCCTTCAATGAAAGTTGGGGGGGCTTAAGCCCCTCCTGCCCCCCCTGTTCCTACCCCTATGCCTCTCTCTTATCTAACTGTTTGTCCCGTTAAAATTTCCGCCATCTTACTTTTTTGACCACACCCTCTAGATTAATTTTGCCCACGTGGTCCAAATTTATTAATAATAGTATACTAATTTAATTTTCGTATTCTTCCGTTCATAAACAAGACGTAACGCAAATAGACCTAGACAGATTAGTGTGGGTCTCGCTCATGCTCGCCCCAATTATATACTCTTGATATTAGAGTACAGGAAAATTTTTCCTGTACTCTAATATCTATGGTGATCTCTTCACATCTATGGCCACACCCAAAATTCTAACAAGTGGTTACAGATCTACGCATGCGCAGAATTGCAGACCAGCCCCGCCTTAAAATGGACTCTGTTGTTTTGGAAATTTTTCTAAGCTCGACCTTAAGTGAGTACAGAAGTATCATTCTATTGCAGATCTAACGTAAGATTGCCATAGAGATTGAAAATCTTAATGGATTGATAGCACTACTTGAGAGGCATAAGTACAACAAGGCATCATATTATCAACTTGGTCTACATCTTCAACTACACGATAACACATTGAAGAGCATTGAAAAAGAACACAAAGGACAGGTTGATCGTTGCTTTACTGAGTGTTTGTCTCACTGGTTGCGTAAAGTTGATGGTGTGGCGAATCCAACAATAGATACACTGATAGATGCTCTTAGAGGAATAGGAGAGAATGCTGTAGCTGATGGTATTAATGAACAAAGAAGTGAGATATGTTGATTTAAATAAAGCTGTTTTATTAATTTATTCTCAGTTCATAGTTTGCCTAGTAATGAAATCATAAATCAAGTCAGACTAACAGCTACACCTACATCGGAAGTCAATGAAAGTAAACTTTTGATATGCAATGCTTTTAATCTAATTATATGCCTTCAGATCGTCCAGACCAGCCCATAATTCAAGGTATATTTTGCTTGAATAAATTGTTTGGTTTTTAAACATAGTTGTGCAATGAATGCAGATGATTTTCATGTTGTTTTTGTTGTAGCCGGCCGTTGTTTTATTTTTGGGGCGAGCATGAGCGAGATCCACTCTAATCTGTCTAGGTCTATTTGCTTTACGTCTTGTTTGTGAACAGAAATATATGAAAACTAAATTAGTATACTATTGATAAATTTGGACCACGTGGGCAAAATTAATTTAGAGGGTGTGGTCAAACTTTTATTAGTAATAACATAGATATTAGAGTTACAGGGATAGGAAACTTCCGATTGCGGTTTTATTATTCCCATTGAGTTTATATTGTAGCCTAGCAACGGGATAATTCTGATGCTCCCTTCCCTTTTACGCAGCCCAAAAATTAGACAATTAGCTGTCTGGGCTGATATTTTCTACTGTTTCTGCCAGATAAAAGCCTTTTTCGAAGATTTTATGTTGCGTTATTATTGCTCTAGAATAGTGCTTCAATATAAACTGTGATAGACTAGTGTGTCTACTTTACAAAACATCACATCTTCATGAAATGATGGTGAAATTTTTGTTTTGCACTTCGACATCTGTATCTCAAACACATTTCTAAATACTTCATGATTAGCAAGGTAGACCGATTCTACAAGCAGTCCTCCAGGTCTTCCGCCTCGAAGCAGTCCTGTGCGTCACTTTGGTGGTGTTTTACACACAAATAAAGCAAATTTGCTGTGTTTTGCTTCTAAACACCTATCTCAAGAACTGGACGTTCTAGTGCCTAAAGGGCCCCATCTACAGAAAGTCTATAACCTATCCCGGGTCTTCCACCCATTAGCAGTTGTTTTAAAATACTCTAAGTACCTCAAAAAAATTTTTATTTGAGACACATGAAATAAAGTGATGCATTACCAACATTCTAATTTTGAGGAGCCAAATAATAAAATAAAAATCAGATAGCTAAAATAAAGAAAGAATATAGACATGGCTCCATTACAAGTTCATTTTCAAGTTGATACAGTGGACCTGAACAGGCTAAAAGACGATGAGAAAGACCTGCAACATCACAGACTAGCCACCATTGCTCAGTGTAAAAATGAAATTTACTGACAATTAGAAAGAATTAATACGGTATGGGGAAGGTAGCTTGATTTCCCACGAAAGGAAGTTTCCTATCCCTGTAACTCTAATATCTATGGTAGTAATGCATGCACTTTTCAATTTAGATGTCTTTGTAGCAATTGTTCTGTTAGGCCTTTTTCTTCTAACTTTTCTAAATTTTAATAGATCTATAACTCTAGGCTCTCTGTTAATTCGGTGAGTCCTTTAAGATACCTCTCTTTTCTATTTGTTCCTTTCTCATATCTGTTGTCACAATTCTTATAAAGTTATTATTATTATTATTATTATTATTATTATTATTATAAAAAGAACAAGATGACTGCATAGATATTAGAGTAAATGAAAGGGATAGGAAACCACCGTTCTCGGCAGGAAATGCTAGTTGCTAATACCGTATTAAATTGAACGGATTATTGAGTAAAATGGTGTATGAAAAATTAGAATAAGGTCTGCAGTGATGACAAGGGCACTTCTCTGCTGTATTCTGAGCTCCAGAAACAAAATGAATAGCTTCTTTGCTATGTAGTACCTTCTTTATGGCTGTGCTAAATATTCTATTTTCTTTCATATGATATTTATGCTCTTGTATCATTCAAAATCATCTCTAATTGTGAAAATGTGCAATAGTGAATATTTATTTTTATTTTATCTATAAAATAGAAGGAAAACCCCAAAACATGTGGAAGACCTCCGCATTTGAAGTACAGACTGATACAAAAAAGTTTAAGGCTAGAGTATTTGTTACTGGCGAGTTAAGGGTACAAAACAAAAGCAAAATTTGGGTCTACTTTTTGCTTAGAAATCACAACCATACAATATTTCCTATTAGAAGATGTCTCAAGACCTCAGTTATAACATTGGCTAATGTTTTTTAAACACCAATAGATGGTTCATAAAATTGACTTTCAGAAAAGGTACAAAACAAAATTGGCAGTTTGGACAACTTGACAGTGGGAGTTCAAGGTAGGATTTCATTTGGGCCATTAGTGTAGTCCTTCTGAACCAGGTATCAATGGAAAGATATGATCTTGATCTTTGCAGCTAACCTAGAACTGTATCTGTACTCTGTATCAGACACGAATTATAAGCCAAGAAGTCCAGTCATGGTCCTCCATTTTCCTAGTTTCCCAGTAAGAAAAATGACAACTTGCATATGTCGCTAGGCAACGCATGACATGTACATAAATTTTACGGTGGTTTCCTATCCCTTTCATTTACTCTAATATCTATGATGACGGAAATTTTAATGTGACAAACTCAGATTGAGTTTCTAACAGTTAGATAAGAGAGAGGGGCTGTCTAAAGCATCTCTAAAGGCTGGAGAACTTAAAAGCAGTTTGATCTAAGACTCCTCTAGATTAGTCCTCTCATTGACAGAATTAAAATTGTGAGAGAAGCTTGATAAGAAGTTTAGCTTGTCACATTTTCTCAAAGCATTAGGACAGTTCATTCTTGTCTCTTTTACTAGGTCATTTTGGTCAGTGGTGTTAAATAGTGGGTTTGCTCTGTTCAGAG